AGACTTATTATTGCTGAAGTCTGGAGATGGGGTTTGTAAGGAGTCAGGCTGGAGATGGGATGTGAGTTGGGCAGTGCTGAGAGCTGATTTAGTGAGCTCATGGTGGTGGGGACTGGGGACTTAGTGAGCTGATGGTGGTGGACACTGGGGACTAGTGGAATTGGCTGGATATTGACTGGGTAAGGAATGAGAAGAAGGTAATGAGAGACTCAGATCATCCATGAGATTTGGAGGAGGGATAGAGATATGTTTGAGGTGAGTTTCATGAGGTCAGTTTGTACATGGTGGGATTGCATCTATTAGGAATCCTCGACAGAGAAGAGATTTTGCTCTAGCCTGCTAGTGAGGCTMCTGAGGGATTTATCATTGGGTTTTCAATGGCTTACAGAATTATCAAGGGGGCTGAAGAAACAGACTGAGCTTCCAGGAGCAACTTTTATTTATGTTGTACTGGGAATCAAACCTAAGACCTTGTGCATGCTACATAACTGTTCTGCCACTGAGCCACACGCCCAGCCCCAGAAGCAACTTCTAAAGCTACTCCTAGGAACTGGGATGCCATAGTCACAGCAGTCTCTTTTATAGTCTTGCAAGCAGGAAGCTGTCCCCTCTAGAACCCCATCACTGTTGTTGCAAACAGGAAACTATTTCAATCAGGAAACTGCTAGTGCTGTTGGTTCTAGTACCAGTAAACATCTGGAGCAAATTCCATTAGCAGAGTGGATGCTCCTAGCCTTCCACTCAGACCCACCACTACTCACTAAGCTAATAGCTACACACAGGGATGTCTGCAAATGTAGCTGCAGAAACCCAAGTGCCTCCACAGCTGRCTTGCTGGACCAATGGATAGACATCCCAGATCCTGCCCATCTATCTCAGTCTCAATAATCCAGGATTCTGAGCTTCAAGGGAGTAAGCTTTGGAGGAAGGCACACTAGAACAGTGTTTTGCGAACATATGAGAGCATCATAAAATCRGTTCAGGTGTTCACATTTTTCTTTTCCTTAGTCTTTTCAGGCAATGTAAGATGTTGCTTTCTCTGGGTCATGCTAACAGAAAAAAAAAAGTCACTGCACTGAATGTTGCACGTCAGTCTTCACTGCAGGGTATCAAATGTCTAAAGAGAGAACTATGGTAAAGTCCAAAGGCCACAGAATGTATTGGGTTGGGCTTTAGGAGAAAGTAAAAAGCTGGAAATGCAGTGTTTAGWCACTGGCAAAATGGTGTTACTTGAAGCCATTGAAGTGGCTTAAGTCATCCAGGGAGGCAGTGGACAAGGAAGTAGGGACCAGACCCCAAGGAATCTACACCTTTGATCTTGGGGTAGGAAATTCCTTCTGGGGCTGTATTTGTCCTTTGTGCACTCTCCAGAAAAGAGATGGATCCAGAGAAGCCCCAGAGTGCCTTGGAAAGGCAGGTTTCAAAGGCACACACCATGCTGGATTGTAAATTGGCACCTACTGTGGGGTCCGGTGTCACATTAGTACTCAGGATGTGAGTTTTGAATGGATGTACACAGCAGAGCAGTAATTAGATAAAAAGAGCACTTCAGATTCCAAAGTCTCAGCTCCTGCTGTGGGCTTATCCCCTCCATAGTCATGGCTAAGACAGCAGCTTTGGGATTCCATCTATATTTTTTCCAAGAATATTTTTACTGTCTAGAAAAATGGCAACAAGGGGTGGGAGGTATATAAGAAGATGTGTTTATTGCAGTATTTTGTGTAACAACAAAAACCTGTGAGCAAACCAAATGTCCATACCTAGGAGAATGGACCTGAGATGGTGTATTGAAACAGGAGAACAGAGCATTTAAATGGGTGAGCTAGATCCACATGTAGAGTAGATCTGAAAATTCCAATGTTACATAAAAAACGCAAGTCGCAGACTATTATATAAGCATGATATCATTTATTAACATTCTAAAAATCACACAAAATCGTATTATGTGTTCCTATGGCAAAACAAATATAAAATTATGTAAGGGAAAGACATACACATATACGTCTGGGCAGTGATCATATAACCTCTGGAGAGGAAATTGAGGAATAGATGGAGGAGTGGGATTTTAACTCTCTATGTATTCTTTTACTTTAAAAAGAAGCAAAAGCAAATATGGCAAAATATTAATAGTTATTAAATAAGCTGATGAGGAATGGAAGAAATATTCTTTTCTGTTCTCTTTTTAATTAAAAATAAATATAAGCATATATAAGTCTTGCAATTCCCAGAGCAAGAAACAGGCTTCCTCCCCTGAACTCAGGTTAAGTAGATGACCTATAAAATAGTGAGTAGGAAAAAACATACATATATATATATATATATATATATGCATATTAATATATGTCTACATATACACAGATGCATATGCACATGTGTATGCATGCATACACACATATGTACATGAAAGGTCACAGGAGAACTCTAATAAAGTCTAGCGGGGAATTACAGAGATAGGATACCGGATTCTGGGTTCAAATTCTAGCCAGGACTTGACAAGCATCTGTTTCCCACAGATAGGAATTCCACTGGGCTTAGCTKCTGTCTCAGGAGCATACCAGAGAGGACACTTGGCTGACTTCTGGATACTTTTAATTAAAGGRTTTTGTCCCCTGTGATGGAATAGCCAGTGTATTCCAGGGATCCTGGAAGTCTCATCTGTTTGTAAATCTGACCACCTTCCCTCAGCTCTGCCTCTGTTTAGTGACTATTCATATTAAAACCTTTCTGGGCACTGGGCCATTTTCTGAGCCACCTTTTGTGTGACTGGGGGATTCTGAGGAGGAATTAGGTGGTGCAGTTATGGGAGGCCAGTTGAAAATACAGTTAGTGAACATGGACAGGGTCATGTGATTTTTTTTTCAAGGGCAGGTATACATTCAGTCTACCTTGAACTTGGTATTGTTCATCAACTCACCATCACCTTCCTCTACATGTTCYGCAATATACTGTGTGTGATTGGATTGGGTGTGGGAGAAAGGAAGAGGGAAGGGTCTCTAAGCTCAAGTTGACATTTTGCTGTAGAGGCTTATATTTTAGGTAGCCTGGGACCTCAGTTAGGTAAATGATTTGTTTCACTTGCATAAATGGTGTCATTTGGCTATAAAATTCCCAGGGATGCTTAGTCCTCCAGAGTAACAGAATTTGGTTTTAATCATCATGAGTCCTATATATGTAGACTTTGACTTATTGATATTTATATTTATTTATCTATCTATTTATTTTTGTGCCTTTGGTTTTCTGAGCATTGTGTGGCAAATCAGATTAAGAACCACTCATTGCATGAAAGTTAGTCGGTAAAACGTGAAAACGAATTAGGAATGAGAGGGAAGAACATTTGCTTTGTTTATACGCAATTAGGTTGAGTGTTCCTTTTCAAGAATGCATTCATGAGTGTATACTGTGTCAAAATATACTCTACTGTCATGTAGACCTAAAAAAGAACAAATTAAATTAAATTAAAAGAAAGAATGCATGAGTCAGTCCAATGGAGATTCATGAGTCCTAACCCATTAGTGTGCAACTAAAATGCCAGATATCCCCTTATTCTCTAGCTTTGTGTGCCTCTCTCTTTTAACCATGTGCCACTTGGCTCACAGAATTCAATCCCTCTTCCAATGCCTGCTCCTCCCTCAGAATCTACTCTTAGAAAGAGTTGAAGAGAAAGGTAGGCTTTACTGAATGGTTCACAGGGGTGACCTATGAGGAGGTGGACAAGGCACGCTGCTCAGAGAGGGACTTACACTTTCCCCTTGGTCATTTGTTTTTCCACGTTGCTCTCTATCCATACCACAACTGCTGCGGTTTCCTTCTTCTGTTTTGGGGGAGTGGTACTGGGGATTGAACTCAGGGGCACTCGACCACTGAGCCACATCCCCAGCCCTATTTTGTATTTTATTAGAGACAGGGTCTCACTGAGTTGCTTAGCGCCTCGCTTTTTGCAGAGGCTGACTTTGAACTCGTGATCCTCCTGCCTCAGCCTCCTGAGCCTTTGGGATTACAAGCATGCACCACGGCGCCTGGCCTTCTTCTTCTTCTTCTTCTTTGTTAGACCTTTTCCCTTCTTGAGAAAATGAACGTTTGCTCCACTCTTCTGCGCAGCAGCAGATGGTCTTCTTTTCTCAACTCTATCCTCAGGGGTCTACACTTCCAACTTCGACGATTGTCAAAGTCCTCCAACAAATAAGGCGCTCTTTCAAAGATGATGTGGGAGTGTCAAACTTGATGTAGCTGGAGAACTCTCCCAGCTGCCCAAATCAGGTCAGGAGGCTGCCGGGCTCCTATGTTCTTCCCATTTCCAGCGTCACCATTGTCTWTCAACAACTTCGTCAGGACTTAAAAGTCCATCACAGAACTGATTTTCTAAGGGTTATTTGAAGTATAAAACAGCCATATATCATGCAGGAGATGACAGCAGCTGTTTCCTGGCTAAATGACCATATCACCTTGGCCATTGCAAGCTGGTGGGGTGTTTGCTGAACACATGGCATATTCTGCAAGGCAGGTGAACATTGTCCCCACATTCTGACTTGCTGGGATGACATGCAGTCGGATGTTAGTGATACCATCAGTTCATACTGGTAGGTGGGGCGGGCCTTCCTTTGGTTGGGACCTTCCAGATCTCTGCCTGGAATTTCAGTTCACAGGTCTGATCTTCTGAGGTGAAGGAAACTTTGGAGAGATTCAAACCAAATCCCCTAATTTTTCAGATCTGGAGTCTGAATTCCAGGAGGGGAAAGCATAGCTCAAGGTTAAAGAGTGAATGAATGCTTGGGTTGGGACAACCCACTCCCTTCCGAGGCCCAGAGAGTTAGGGCTCTTTCCACCACACCACACTGCTTCCCTGTCTTCTACCTGAAAAATACTTCCCTTTTTTAACCCTGGAGCTGTATCTTCCCAACAGACAGAAGGAGACGTATACTACTTAATACCCTTTGCGAGTTCAGTCTTGTTCTAACATTTTCTTTTTGCCCAAGTGTTGGGACGAATGGATGAAATACCATTTTCTTCTGCAGGCCAAGAGAAATTTCTCAGTCTGAACCACTGTATAAGAAAACGGATAACACATTCTCAAGAGGAAAGGTGTTTGTATCCACATACTGGAATTTATCCACCATGACTGATATGGTGGTGTTGACTGGCAAGTAGTCCAGCAAGAATTGGGAGAGATTCTGGTATATGTTTTTGGTTTGTATTCCAGACTCGCACACTGTTACCAGGGCCTGTTTTTTGACCTCTGTGTTGACGAGGAGCTCCAACTTCAGGTCCATGGAATGATTTGAGCATTGAACCAGAAACTGCAGCTGGCAGATGATGAAATACCAACCTGGGAACTGGATCACCAGATTCCCATCCTGGTATCTGACGCCATGGATGATTCCATCTTTGTTCCAAGACAACTTGGTATTGTTGAGATGCTTGGACACTGGAAAGTATAAAAAAGAGAATTATTAACCACATCGAGGGTACAAATTAGAACACTCTGTCTTTGTTCAAGGTTCCCATTTAAGAGCCATGTTTTCTATCATGTTGCCTGATGACCCAGCCATCTGAATATCTTTCATGTGACTCCTTCTAGGGTCTACTTATTATTCAAGGCACAAGTAGAAAATTACCTCTCTTCCTTTCCAATGCTCAAAGCTAGAGGGCCACAACACTCACAGTAGTGCACTCTACCTACTACGGAATGTTTTCCCCTTCGCCTATTATCATATTATGTTATGATTATTATCTTTCCCTTTTTAGACTATAAGCTCCTTGACTGTATTCTGCAGAAGAACTGAATGTCATGTTTATTTATCATGAATGAGCAGTTAGTGTGTGACTACTATTTGGGAGAGATTAAGGAAAGTGTCAGAGAAAGGACATTCTATACTGTGCAGTTAAGAACCAATTCAGGTATCAAGTTGTCCAATAGACTCTCCACTAAGATGTACGCTTTATCTGATTATTTGAATTTTTGAATGTCCCTTCTTTCCAAAGGGCAGCCAAACATAATTGCACAGGCCCCTCGGGTGTACAGTAAGGGGCTCTGCCATCTGGGATTTGTAGAAAAGCAGAGAATTAGCAGACCCTCCAAGCTGACATGTTTATGTCAGAAGCCAAGTCTCTGGGTGCTGACAGATAAAAGCCAGCACTGACTGACAGGGTGCCTTTTAATTGCTTATATACTTTTCCTTTCAATTTCATTGCAATTCAATTGAAAGGTAAGAACTAATCTATGTGCAAAATTGAATTTTTAAAATGAGCAAAATAGCTATTCAGAGAATCCTGGCCATTTTCTCCATATCTCATTCTTTTGCAGTGTAAGTGCCTCTTATTTCATTTATCAGGAGCCTCTTACATGGCAAAGCATTTTGCAATATGCAAATAGGTCCTGTGCCAACATGTTCATTAAGCTGTCAATCTGGGGACAAGACAATTTTGTGGTTCCCTTGTGAATAACTTTATAGAGGAGAGATTAGGAGCCGGGTCCCTTTGCATTAGGAAAAGAACTGTGTACTTGGCTGAAACTGGTAGGTACTTGGATAGAAAGGGGTGATGGTGGGGGAGGTAGGGACAGGGCTCAAAAATGCCTCCAGAGATGGGTAGGCAACATGAAGGGGCTGAGGAAAGAGGAGACTTGTGGCTCTGGAACTCAACACTCTCTCCTGTTCCCCAAGGCATTCAAATTCAAATGCTGAAAGGTCTTGTGTGCAGGCAATCCAGAACACGCTGCAGGTCACACTGGGCCAGCCGTTGGCTTCTAGTTGGGACTTCTGCTTAGAAGTTGCTGAAAGGCCACAGGAAGTGGCCTCCATGTGGCTGGCTGTCCTGGATTTGGCTACTGACCTTGGAGGTAGGCCCATGTCTTCTTGAATGGAGCCCTTTTCAGGATACATAAGAGGTCTTCTGAGCAATTTCCTAAAAACAAGGAGATACACATGAATTGCCTCTGCTGCTCTGGGCACTGAAGTCACTGGATCTTTTCCCCTGACCCCGTGACGGGGACAGTTACTGTTTTGCTTCTAAGTAAAAGGAAAACTTCTTTAGTTCTTTTGCTGTCAAATATCTCAGGAGTTGTACTTTTCTAAAATTTATTTTTATTGAGGGTTTCCTCTTTGGCTTTTATAGGAGACTGTAGAAGGAATATGCCCTGAATTCCCATAATGTGCCAAAGGCCCTTCTCATCCTTCCTCATACTTTACCTTGTGTGATCTTTGTATCTAATCCATGAAAGTGGCCTTGTTAAGTGCCTCTGACAGTTGGGAGAACCCTGGGGATCAGGTACATGCTATCCATTGTCCTAAGTCACTCACCCAGGTACTGGCTGTCAAATTTGAATAGTGATACTAATTATTTCCATTTTACCTGCTGCATGTGTGTAGGACCCTGTGTATTTTCACCAGTGTTAGCTAATCTTGTTCTCAGACTAACCCTGCACAGTTATCCATGATGCCTGAAGATGGTCAATGATAGACTCAAAGTCAAGCAAATGTGAGGAAATGCTGACATTCTCCATGTCTGTCTGACCAAGTTAGGCCACGTTTCCTATTCTGGGCCATTTTGCTAGACGACAAAGACAAAGCATCTTTTTACTCAATTTTAAGAAGGAAAAGGATTAAAGATATCTTAGCAGGAGCTTCCTTGACAGGGAAAAACAGCAATGATGGCATTAAAGTATTATGGTGTTTAAGAAATTTATTTTTTAATATTTTAATATGTTTATCAGAGATGACAGATTAACTCTTTCTTATTATAGTAATCATTTTGTATGCAAAGAACTACCCAAACGTTTCCTGCCAATGGCTTCCTGGGTTCTCATGGACTCAACTTATTTGGAACAAATCTCTTCTCTTCTCTTAGCCTCCGTTTCCCACTTTGTAAAACTGGGAGATCTCTACATTGACCTTGACATCATTTGATGATGTCATCAGAGATGACCACTCAGTCCATCCATCAGAGCCCAGGAAGCCATTGACTCATCCAATGGGGTGGCCACACCCTGGCGTGTTTGCTTCCTGAGTGTTCTATTTGGGCTTACAAACTTCTCCATTGCCCTCTCTGCTCGGGCCTGAGAAAGTCCCTGCTGGCTTCTTCAAAGCTCTGTGGGGCCTTGAAGTGGTTAGAGTGAAGCGAAGAGTTCCCTCTGCTGTCTGAGCCGGCTCACTGCTGGAGGCTCCCCCAGCTGGGGGCCCTTGATCCACAAAGAGCTTCTGGCCCAAAGCCCCTTTGGTGGCAAGGGCTGGTGGGCCAGCTGCAATCTGGGCCACGTGTTTCTCTCATCCCTCAGCCAGCGTGCGAGTCCTCTGCCACAGTCCACACCCACACTATTGGGTGTGTAGAATCAGAACCACAGCACGGAAAGCAGCTTGTTCTCCCTTAGAGGTTGTCACCTTCATGAGTCGGTCCCCTGGCCCAGCCTCCTCTTTGGGGCTGTAGAGCAAAAAGGCAGAAGGAACTGCAGGGAGGTACGTCTGCCCGAATCTTTGCTTGGAATCCCTCTCTGATGTCTCCTCTCTGCATGACCAGGCCTGACTCCTCAGCACGGCCTTTGTAGGCCCTCGTGTTCTGACCTCTCCAGGTTTACCCCTCACCTCCGCCCTTCCCTTTTCACTCTCTGTCCTCCTACTAATAATCATCACCATAACAACAGCCGGGATAGTAATATTGATAACAATAATGAATGTGTGTGCAATGATGGCTGTTTTCTAGGTACTCTGCAAAGCACATTATGGAAATTATTTCACTTAATTTTCATGAGAAATTTCCATGAGAGAGCTAGCTGGTGGCAGGGTGGAGGCTCAAACTCGGGCTGTGCAGACTCGAATGCCTGGGCGGCTCCTGACTTCTCTATTGGAGTTTGGGTGCATGCTAGCTTTCTATTCCACCTTGGCACCCGTTGCTCCCTCTACCTGGAATCCCCACCTCCTTCAGGCCGGTCACCATGGGAACACAACCTGGCAGTCCCGTACTCCAGGAGACCTTCTCTGCCCCTTGCTCTGTTTGCTTATTTTCCTGTAAACCCCCAGGGCAGAGACCACAATTTATCCATCCCCACTGCCCTGACCAGGAGAAGCCCTGTCAATGTTTGTTGAATGGAATCATCTAGTTCATCTCTTTTATTTCCCTTGTGGAGACCAGTTCAATGAGTAGGATGGATGGAAGAGGGTGTTTGGTCTGCTTTTCCTCCCAGGGCTGGAATAACACAGACCTCATTCTTCCAAGGGCTGCAGATCAGAGGAATCGGGAAGACAAGAATTGTGCCTGGGGTGAAGTCAGCATTATCAAGTCAGACACAGGCTCTGCCACTGGCCAAAGGGCCCCTCTGTCCTTGACACTTGTGACACCTGCCTCAGGTGAGCTTCCACAAACAAGCCAGCGGTGGCCCGTTACAAGCCCAGGCTTGCCCCTCACACATGCAGGTTCTTGGTTGTTGTTGTTTTTCCCCTTTGTTCTTCACATGTTTAGTGGGGTGACCTCAGCTGTGATTCTGAGAAACCCAAGGATGGAAAAAAAAAGCCCTTATTTTGAAGCATTTGCATTTCCTGAAGTCAAATGGCATGACACAGTTTAGTTTTTCTTAAAGAGTGTTTTAGATGGCGTCTAGCTAAAGGAAAAACACAGCTTCTTTCAAGAATGCTAATACCAACCGGGCTCTGTGGCGCACACCTGTGATCCCAGTGGTTCAGGAGGCTTGGCAGAAGTTCAAAGCCAACCTCAGCAATTTAGTGAGGTCCTAAGCAACTTAGTGAGACCCTGTCTCAAAGTTTAAAAAAAAAAAAATAGAAATTAGAAAGGGTTGAGATATAGCTCAGTGGTTAAGCGCCCCTGGGTTCAACTCCCTGGTTAAAAAAAAAAAAAAAAAAAGATATTACCAGAGCAAGCAGGACACCAGAGGGGCTATTGAGGGTGGGGAGCAAGACCCCAGAGGAGGGCACAATCTCTGTTGACAAGGCTGCCAGCAGGAAGACAGTGCAGCCTGATCTCTGGGGTCTAATCACTAAGGCTCCAAGTGGAAGTTGAGGAGGTGAAATCTTGACCAATGCCACTCTCATAGCCATGTGGTTGTGGAAAGACCTACATGAAGGACACCCAAGTTGTGCTCTATGTYGCAGAGCTGGATGTTCAGGTATTTGACCAGTCAGGGCTGCTTTGGGGGTTGTGAGGCAGATGTCAAGAGCTAGGATAACATTCTGTGGATCATCAGCCGTGTAGCTTGTCTCCTYATCACCCTCCGGGTCCATGATAGGTCTTTCTTTTTTGGTATAAAAACAAGAAGGAGCAACTTATCAAAGGATAGGTTTCTTCCTGCAGCTGGAACCCGGCAATGTCCCTAGAGTTTTGAGGACTGGGAGCATGCGTAGCAACACATCTTCTTGTTTCCCAATGGATGTGATGTCTGGAGGAGTTTAGTTTGAAAAAACAGAATGTGAGGTCGGGGAAATGAGAACTGTCTACAGGGAGTGGCTGAATCCATGACCTGGGAGTGAGCCTCTCAGAAGTCCTCTTTCTGGGCTCTTGTGTCCCTATCTAGATGGAGAACAGTGTGGACTGGGATCAAGAAGGGACTCTGTAGCTCTTTCTGGTAGGCTGTGTGGTCTCGGCTGTCCCCTGCCAGGGCTGCTGTGGGGTGAGGGGCTGGGCACAGAAAGTGGGCCCCATTTCTGTCTCTCTGTGGGCATATTGCTCAGCCCACGGTAGGAAGCTGTGTTCACACATTCAAATTTTCAGATCCCAGAAGTGATAGAAAACAGAACATTCTAGCTCTGGGGGCAATCTAAGTAATGAAGAGTCTGGTTCTGTTAGAATTTGCATGTTTTTTAGAAATAGAAGTTCCCTAAGAAGGCACCTGGTCCAGGTTTGAAAGGACATAACTCATTTGCTCTCCAATGTCACACCCCTAACAAGCTGGTCCTAGTTCACCCAGAGTGGGTGACAGAGGCAGGGCCAGAGCCCTGGGCTCCACATTCCTTTTGTGGGAATATTCGGTCTTTCAGATAATCAAAGCACTCTGTGTATTCCTCTGAGGATTAATGTCTTCATATGCATGAAGTTTGCATGTTGTATTTTGTCTCCAAACTCCTGCCTCTTTTAGAGAGATCATGGACTTTCTGTGGCTTTGGAAGGTTGGTGAGAAAGATGTGCCCAGGAATCCCTACTGGCCAGTTGCACAGAGTAGAGAGGGAGAAACAGAGATTGCTCAAGATGGTTGAGAGGATTATGCTCTAGAAGGTCAGGATTCTGGCAACCTTGAACTAGGCCCCACTTTGAGATATAGTATGAGGGACAGAGAGGGATATTAGATGTMATATTCACAGAGGTCCTAGTTTTAGGAGTGGGAAGACTGAACCTAGAGAGACTGAGGGTCTGGCCCAAGACCCCACAGTAGGTAAATGGCAGAGCTGGATTCAGAACACAGGGCTCCTGACTCTCTGTCCAGGGCTCTGTCCCTGTCTTTTCATTATTCCATGGAGCAGAGAGAGTGAAATGCAGCCACCACAGATACTGGAACTGAAAACTGTCGAGACAGCTGGAGGTGCTGGGCAAACAAGTTCTAATGAGCCTCCCTGGTCCCATCTTGTGGGAGCATGCCAGCAGATGACTTCAGGCCTGTGTGCTGGACCATGCCCAGCTGCAAGTCAGGGACAATCAGGCTTCCAGAAAGATGGACACTGCTCAGGGAAGCTCTACATGGCAAAAAAACAAAACAAAACAAAAAAACATGCAGCTATTCCACCAGATGGTGCATGGTCTGAGTGCCAGGCCCTTCCAGCTCCACAGCACTGCTGACATAAAGTCAAGGCAGATACTGTGCATCTCAAAAGAGAGCACCTGGGTTCAGGACCAGGCTTTGAGCTTTGGGCCCGTCACTCCCCTTTACTGAGTTCTTCTTACTACATCAGTAAAGTGAGGATAGTAAT